TTTGTGATGAGCACTGGGTGTTGTATGGAAACCAATTTGACAATAAATTTCATATATAAATAAAAAAAATAAAAAAAATAAAACCATAAAAAAAAAAGTTGATTGCTACATCCCTTTTGAACATTGGAAGTTATATTTAGGGAAATTTCAAATATGCCTGTCATTGACCAAGAAATTTCACTTCTGGAAATCTATCTAACTAGTCAATATGATTGTTTGCTTACAATTTCTGATTCTCACTCTATGTGTGTGGTTGGACTGTCCTCAACTTCCTTAGATTTAGGCATTGCCATAGACTGACTTTGGCCAAAGAAATTTGAGTGGAAGTGACATTCCCACAAACAAAATAAAAATGACCAATGGTTACACAAAAACCAAACAGCCCTCCTCTGCACCCCCCATCCCAAATTCCCTAACCTCTTTAACAATTAACTAAATCCAAATGTTAATAATAATAATAATAATAATAATAATAATAAAGGGATTTCATTTTTTCCTATTTGGATATACAAATTAGAAAAAGAAAGACCTAGCACAATGTTGCAATGGGGCAAGAAACTGAACACTGTTGGGCTCATGCCCCAGGTCACACAGGTGGAAAGCGGGGAAGCCCAAATCAGAACCCATGTCTATCTGTATTCACAGCAGGTGGGCCTGCTCTTCCTATCACTCATTACTCACTCCTGGTCTACCATCTTTGTGATAGAATCTTTGGTGGTAGCCCTAACCATGCTACAAATTGTGTCATGAGCTACATTTCAAATCACTAATTCTTACACTACCTCTAAATCTGTTTCAAAAGTAGAAATTACAAATGTGTTGCAGCTATAACTGCAGCTTGCATTGCTAGTTGGCAAGAAATCAGACTCTGAACCACCAGTCAACTAAACCACCATGTCTATAATGCAGTCTTTTTGGATTCAGGGACAGTTTCTCACCATAAATGAAAAATAAGTAGAGAGTTGTGACATGATGGGGTCAGTTTTTATGGTGTCAGTTTTTAGTGCCATTTCCCCCCCAAAGGAATAATTTAACCATGCTATTTTTGAATTTTATCCTTTAATATAATTTGATATCACTCCATATCACTTCAAGGATTTTGACTTCAATCATTGTATTAGGCTACTTTAGTGTTCCGTTGTATGTATGTGTATATGTATACAGCTAAATACTTCATACAGTATCATAACCATTAAGAAAAAAATTTAATATCTTCTTTCTCTTTTCCTCATTCTTTCTTTCTCCCCTCCCCTCCCCTCCATGGTCTCTCTTCTCAGAAAGCATAGAAATACTGATAAATAGCAGCTGCTGACCAGAGCTAGTCATCTACATAGGTAGATGACAAGGAAGACACCTGCAAGGCAGTCAGGCAACTGGAGACAAAAGATGTATAGGCTGCACTGCTCACCCATGGAAAATTCCATTAACTAAAGATAAGGATGTATGTGTATGTGTTCATGTTGGAGAAGATGTGGTGTGTCTAATGAAATGGGATATATCATTTTCAGTTCCTTTTACTCTAATTATAACACTGTGATCTGAAGAGAGACGACAAGAGAAATGCACTCCAAGCAGTCAGACAACTCTTGATATCAAGTACTTTTGCAGCACTGTATAACCAAATCAGCCCTATGGAAAATTCCATCTTCACCTAAGGATAAGGCTGTGTGTGTGTGTATGTGTGTGTGTGTGTGTAACAAAATGTCAGAGGCCATTTTCAGCTTTAAAAAAGATGCTGAAAATTACAAAGAATGAAATATATATAATTAGTAATATTATTAGCCAGAAACATTTGGTATTAATATTTAGTTCTAGGGGCACCTGGGTGGCTCAGTCAGTTAAGCATCTGACTTTGGCTCAGATCATGATCTCACGGTGTGTGAGTTTGAGCCCAACATAGGGCTCTGTGCTGACAGCTCCAAGCCTGGAGCGTGCTTAGGATTCTGTGTCTCCCTCCCTCTCTCTCCCTGGGTCCCTCCCCTGCTTGCTCTCTGTCTCTCTCTAAAATAAACATTAAAAAATATTTAGTTCTATAAACTTCCACATTTCTATTCTATTGCTGTGGCTTGAATTGTATCCCCCTAACAGATATGTTGAAGTCCTAATACCTGTTACCTGTGAATGTGACCTTATGTAGAAATAGAGCCTCAGTGATATAATCAAGTTAAGATGAGATCATACTGGTTTAGGATCCTAATCCAGTATGACTGGTGTCCTTACAAGGAGACAAGAGAGATATACGGACAGAAAGAGAGAAATGCCATGGGAAGACACAGACACAAAGGGGAGAAGGCCATTTGAAGACAGAGGCAGAGATTGGAATGATGTATTTACAAGCCAAGGAATGCTAATAGTTGCCAGTAACTACCAGACGTTAGAAAAGGCAAGGAAGAATTCCTCCCCTACAGCCCTCAGAGAGAGCATGGACCTGCTGACACCTTGATTTTTGACTTCTAGCCTTCATAACTGTGAATAAATTTCTCTTGGTTCAACCCACCTAGTTTGTGATATTTTGTTGTGGCAGTTCTAGGAACTAATACACTGTTGATACATTTTAAATAAACTATTTGAAAATAATTGGAAAAAACCTCCACAGTATATTTAATATACTTCCATGCTCATACTGTCTATATCATTACTTTGTTAATTGGTTGCAGAAGGAATAATTTCTGCATATCTTTAAATTTTTAATTTCATTTATTTTTCTGAGTATATAGGTAGTATATGTTTTAGATAAACAAATAGCAGGATAAATCTGTAAAATAATATTTAATTGCCCTGTGACCCCATTCCTAGGCCCCTTTCCAAGGTATCTATAAATAATTTTGTTATATATTACTCCAGATATTTTTCACTTCAGATTCAGTACCAAGAGAAATGTAAGTCTCATTTCCTCTTTCTCTCTGTCACTGTGAGATGCATATGTTTTATTGGTATAGGATATAAGAATAAGAATGCTTATATTTTTATTGAAGTGTAGTTAATATACAATATTATGTTAGCTTCA